CTCGTACGAAGTCGGATAAACTCTCGTGCTTGACGTCCCGACCTAGCCTCCTCCTATCATCCGAATAACATTCCTGATCAATACTCTCTCATAGTCTCATCTCTAAAGATTGGGTAGAAGGTCATTCTACCCCTCCCTGAACTCTCCTGAATCAGCTTGACCAAAAACCCTAAGGTCAACTGAAGTCAACGGTCAAACTTTGACCCGACTCGTCGAGTGCACATGGGCGACTCGGCGAGTCCATGCGGGTCCTCTGAATCCTTCTAGCCTCACTTGGAACGTCGAGTCATCCCTTCACTCGATGGGTTACACCTGTCACGAATCGCGGGGCAACCCCGACTCGACTCGTCGAGTCCACTTATGAACTCGGTGAGTAGCGTCCATGGCAACACTCAAATGACCTTCTGAGGTCAGATCCGCTTCTCTAACCTATAGATCTGGCCTTTCCAAACCCACTAATCACGTAAAGGTGAAACCTTTACACTCATGCAACACGTATATGGTTCCTTTTGAAGAAAAAGCCTCAAAAATGGCAACCTAAGTTCATTCCTTCCATAACACTTCATAAAGCAAGATGGATAATGCTCTCTGGACCTCTATGGGTCCAGATCTGAAGTCTAACACATAAAGGGACCATAAACTCATCAATTCAAGCCATAAAAAGGTTATAGAAAACCCTAGATTCATAGATCTTAACCAAAACAGAAGGAGAGTTCGATTTGCTACCTGAATACTGCAGATCCAAGCTTGAAAACCACGGATTAGCAATCCTCTTGACCTCCTCTAGCTGGAAACACCTTCTTCTTTGCAAATCAACACAAAAAAGGATTAAAATGGCTTGCTCTCACACACAACTCGCCCAAGCTCTCTAGGGTTTCTCTCTCTGGACTGGTAGCCGCAAATGAGGGCTATAAGGACCCTTAAATAGGGCACAGGCCCAAAGATTTAGGGTTTCTGTCCACATCGCGGACTCGTCGAGTCCACCCATCGACTCGTTGAGTCCCTTCATTAATCCAGTCAGCTAAACGCGATCCTACTCGACGAGTCTAGGCGTCAACTCGTCGAGTCCCTCCTCATAACTCAAAATAAATGAATAACATAGAATACCTGGGAATCCGGATGTTACATTTTAAGTTCATAGACTAACTGTTTGATGAAATGTCTAAGTCAATTAAAAGTTCTTTTTCTATTGAATGAGTAACAAATAAGTGCCTATTTGGGAAATCGTTGCATGTTGGCATAACTTTCTTGAGGTGGATGTTTTAGGTCTTCCATTTAGTCGAACCCTTCAAATTTAGGTGACATTTTTGTCTCATTTTTAGTATTGTTATGCTATTTAAAGTTATTGAGTAAAATATTGATTTTTTTTTACTTTCTTGTGTAGGGAAAGAAAGACAATGTTGATTCATATCTCTTTTTATTATGTGTTGATCTAATCTATGCTGATGTGCTTGAAATGAAAATTTAATTTTCTTTGTAAGAAATAATTTCCCACCTTTATGTATTATTATTATTATTATTATTATTATTATTATTATTTGATGGTTAGTGCTTTTTTTTATTTTTTATCATTAGAAAATTATTAGAGATTTGTACATTTCAACAGTTTAAACTTGGTAATAAATCATGTTTCAACATCAGGTGGTTTCTTTGGTCATGTTGTGTTTTTTTATCCGTTTTTGAAATTTGTAGTTTTATGAAATTTGTCTTCTTTAGAAATCATTATTGGTCAACTTTAATATAGTGATGCTATCACTATGGGCTTGGTAAGGTTGCCATAAGGATGTTATAATTCAGTTTATGTTGTCCCTGGCTCCCTGCTGCTGATCAACCATCCACTTATCTTAATATCCGGGTCTTTAACTAAACCAAAACAACATATTTCATTTAAGGATTGATATAACATCAAAATGGGCAACACGTTTTGATTTTTACCTATATTAGATTAGTTTTTACTGTCTATTTTGTACAACAGTAAAATATAAGTTGCTTATCAGGAGGTTGTTACTATAAAGAAGCAAGCTCTTAGGTGAAGAAGAGGAAGCATGGATGGCTAAAAGTGAGAATAGAGCATAACATGAAGTAGTAGGATGCTATTAAACGAAAGTACTGTTATAGATGAAAAGTAGGTTGCCATTTATTTCTTATTAGGAAAATGGGGCGATTATCTTAACTTAGAAATTACATAACTTAGAAATTACAGGGGCCATTTATATAAAATTATAAAATTATATTGCATGTCACTCTAAGTTTCAAAATTAGTCAATTTATACCAATGTACTTTTTATTTACAGAAAACATACATATAATATGACATAAATAGGAAGTATGATGATATTAAATGAAAAATCATATAAGTTTACATTGTTATAATCTAGGCTCCTGTTAAACGAAAAATATATTTCAGAAACATATTCAAAATTAAATGAAAAACTGAGAATTCCTAAATTAGTCAAAGTTTTTGGGTTATTTTTAAAAGTACAATGTCTAATAAGGAAAAACTAGAAGAACATAAAAAAACATTTCTATATGCTTAAATACGACAACAACATAGTACTTTTTGTATCTTATTTAAATTATGCTACTTTTACGTTGATTACCGATACTTTATAATTACTTCTTTTACCATTTGCTTGATTATTTGTATAGTGTATTCAACTTATGAACTTATGTATTTGTTAAGTAACAAGTGCCAATGTCATAGTTTCACATTATTCTTATTTAAGCATTGTATTTTTTAAGTACAATTTTATAATTGTTTAAGTTTACAAATAACTTCTTAGCCATAGAAAGTACAATGTTATTTTTGGTTTGTCCATAATGTATAAGGCTATTTTTTGTTTTACTCATGAAAGTACAATGTTATTTCTGTTTTGCCCATTAAACTACTTTTATTGTATACACCTAGAAAGTAAATCCCCATTTACCTCTTTCATTTTTTCAATAAAATTATACTTATTTTGGCTAATAGCAACAATGTCATTTATATTATTTTCCTTTTTTTCCGTCATTTATATTGTTGTCTTTTTTTTTATAACTAAAACAGTTTTACAACTTATAACAATGTACTTTGAAAGTACATTGTTGTAATTTATTAAACTTCACATTATTTCATGTTTTCTTACAATCAAAGGTACACTACATTTTTGTGGATATTTTATTTTACTTTTTGTTTATATAATGATTATAAAAACAACACCGTGGTTTTCACGGGTTATAACCTAGTTAAAGTATATTTTGTAGTTAATTTCAGAGGACAAAATCTTAATTTATTAAAATCACGAAATTTTGTAAATAGAATGTCATTAGGAATTACATAAATAGATGGCAGATTTCTAGAAAAGCACATTTTCTGTCTTTTATCTCATAAACCACATGTAATATTTTTTTTTCAGAACCCACTAGTACTAAGCCTTTTCTTTCATTCAAGTAATTATTTAACTTTTCTATCATTTAATTATTTAACTACTAAATCGGTTAGTTTATAGATTTTATAAGGACGCGATCCAAAAGAATCGAATGCGACAACTTTGTGAGTGTGCGTATTTTTCCGGTTGGACATTTTGGCACGATCAAGTATCTCAGTAGCACATTTCTTTTGTGAAAAGAACATGCCTTTAGAAGTGTGAGTGACTAAGGGTACGTTGTAGAAAATTGTTTTCATTTTTCTAGAAAATGTTTTTAGAAAATAGAGTTGAACTTTCATTTTCAGTTTTCAGTTCTCAATAAAAATTTTAGAAAACGCATTTGGTTAGAATCGGTGGAGTTTTCATTTTCCATCTTAGAAATTTAGAAAACTTTGGAAAACTGTAAAATTCATTTTTCTAGTTTACATACAATTTGAAAAACAGAAAATTTTCATTTTTATTGGAAAAAATTTGAAAACTGAATCAACCAAACACGTTTTCAAAACTTTCATTTTCATGGAAAACTAGAAACTTTTCTGCAACCAAACGCGGTCTAAGATACCAAGAAAACAATGGCCGATCATTGAAAATTCCCAATTTAAGGATGTAAGTATCCGAGTGAGGAGAGTCATGATAGATGTAGTAATGATTATGTCATCAACATACACTAATAAATATGCTAGTTAGGAGCGAGAACAAATAGTGAGGAATATGTAGTGTTAAAAAGTGAAAACCAAGTCGGACTACACAACCACCAAAACATTGAAACCAAGCGTGTGTTGCATGATTGAGATCATATAGAGATTTCTGGAGGTGGCAAACAAAATCACGTTTATTGGGATCATGAAAACCAGGCAGTTGATGCATATATATCATCTTGGCTAAATGATGGTAAATGAACGCGTTCTTGACATAAAGTTGGTGGTATATATGCATGTTTGACAACCATCTAAAAGTTTCGACGCAATGCTTGCACAGTTGACTTCTACCATTAGCAATAAGACAAACTTTATATCTGCTGAGAGATCTGTCAGCATTAAAATTTTGCTTATCGCATCACGTTGATCATACAACATTCACAAATGTTGGTTGTTGGGGAACAAAAATCTAAAAGTGATTTTTAATTAGTGCTTTGATAGCATGTTAGTGAGCTAATTTTCCCATAATATTGATTCTCATTAGTACATCGTACAATTGAGATAAGGCCATGAGCCAAGATCCAACAAATGAGCCTGTATTTACATAGTCTAATAAACTTATGTGGACCAGAAATTTAAAAAAAGAAATTAAAATTATTAAGGGTTTTTGAAATTTGTCCACAAATATATTATATTGCTATTTTTCATTCGGTTTCAATATAAAAAAATAAAATAAACAACCTAGCTTTGAAAATCAACAGAAGTCAAAGAAATCATATTTTCTTCATAAATGGTCCACATTTAGTTACATCATACAAAACAAATAAATTTCTTTTTCATTCCCTTTCAAAGTACGATCACACCAAACACTAGATGAAAAGTTTCAACATACCAACTTCTTATACAAACAACAATCATTTCACAAAACATTCAAAAAAAAAAAAAAAAAAAAAAACTAGACCTATAAACACAACAAAATAGTATCTCTTGTAATCAATATTTCCACAACAACAAACCTACTAAAGTTGTATAAAGTTCTTAAAATAATACGTACCACAAACATACCACCCAAACAAAACAAACACAACAAACGCCAAAAACGTTAGAAAATTAGCACCTCCAAATGTAACACCCAAGAAGAACATAACCATAAACGACAAATAAGATCTTATCATCGATTGTGTATTTACCCATTTACCCTTCAACAAAACCAAAGCCGCCACATTCACCACATTCCATCCGGATGTGGGCCCCGATTCCATTCGGTTAAGATGATTGGCCACAAATGAGTGACAATTGCACGTTAAAATGCTATAAATTTGCTTTTGGTATTCTTGTGTTGTTTTTTTCAAGGATTCATCCCATGTGTATTGGTTTCTTCCTGATTCTACAAGCTTAAATTCTTCTTCGGTTCTATATGTGGTGGAAGGATGTCGAGTGATTGGACTCTGTTTAAATGCAAGAAATAGCAACGTACTTTAATGTATTTATAAATTATAGCATCTTACTTTCATTTCTTTCTATTATATACTTTTCTTATTATAGATAGAGAATTAGAGACTAAAAAAATGTGTGTATTTACCTTTTCTTTGGTTATTTGGATATAGCGAGATACACCCCCAAATGTGAAGTTATCTACTGACACAAAATTAGGTCCTGCAAAGTCCACAATCACTCCATCTTCACGCCCAATTCCAACATGACCAACAAAAGGGAGGAGCCAAGAAACAACTGGAAGAGGAGTCCACACTATACAACATGGAAATCGAGCTTTTGTTGGATCAATCTGCATGCTATTTGAAACATCATGCTCAATCATCATATTCTTAGGTTCTGTATCCGACTCCATGAACAGATCTGCACATTTTTGTACATGTATGATGTATTAGATCTCATTTTTATCAATCTTTTTGTAAGAATATTGAATATCATTACAGAATATAGTAATCGCGGATTGAAAGTTTGAAACTTTGATCAGATTTGCGTATTTTTTGTACACCCGGGAATAAATTTGTTGCATTTATTGCAAAGCGGATCTATATTATCCGTTGATTTTGCTAGATTTGTTGTATATCGAAGTGTTATGTGGTTAATTAAAGCAAATTACATTGGGATCAGTAATCGCAACGATTTCAACGTTTACAGAAATTTCATGTTCATGGTGAAGGATAATAAGAGGAGTCTTTCGACGGATGATCCACATTGCAATGTTGATTTGATTAACAAACCTAATCCGATCGTGGTTATAATGAAACTAGATCTAGCAATAGGAAACAATGATAAACAATGATGTAAAATCCGAGAATCTGAGAAAAGCATGAGTTAGAGATCGAGAATGAGTGTACCTTTGATGCGGATCTAGAAATCTTCGAACGATTAGTTTACGAAGAGATGGAGTACTCAAGGCCACAGAACATGTCCTCAACTCTTCCCCCTTTTTTCCTGGTAAAAATCAGTATCATGCTGGTCGCGGTTCTATTTCATTTTATAAGATTAAAGTTTTTTTTTTTAATTATTATTTAGAACAAATTACTGAAATGGTCCTTATGATTTGAAAAAACTTTGTGTTTGGTCCTTAATTTTTGGTTTGCACTCTCGGCATTGCTAACATTTGGTTTTAATACACATTTGGTCCCTACATCCATTTGCCGTTAGTTGTCTCCGTTAATTGACACACTTGCCTAGCACGTCAGATGTATTTTTGTCTTTTTAAACATGGCGCCTAATATCAATTGGAGTCTATTTTCATTCTGATCATCTTCTTCCTCACATCAAAAACCCTATCCAACATCAATTACCCTATTTTGGAAAACCCTAAACCTTGAGCATCCGCCTACCCCGATCAAGTCTTTAAGAAGGCGACGATGGTTAGATGGAAGATTATAGCACATATGGATGAAATCGACCTTCATTAAGCATACAGTAAGCTAATTGTTTTGTTCGTTACATTCATTCTAGAACGCAAATGTAAGAGAGTAAAACTAAAAAAAAAAAAAAAATTCCCCACATGCAATCATCCAACTGTGTTCTCCATGAGGTTGCATTGTAGTCGAGAGTTCACAAAGTTTCCTGGTAGAAAATACATCAAGGGAAAATTCAAATATATTGATCTACTAAATATTTTTACATTATGTGTTCACGACATTGATGAAAATAATAGAGGCGTTTGATCAAGTTTAGGAGGGTAAGTTGTTATATTATCACTTAAAAAAACCATTCTCAAATTTGGCCATTGGTTTATATGATTTTGGCTAGTGATAGTGACATTAATCACTTGAGTACATTCGTGCCTAATCACAAATTGATTGATGTTTATACTGAGCATGGTAAAACTATGTTGCACATGTACTTTGTGTCCCTAAACCCAAGTAGAGTTGGGATAAAAGAAGTTGTTGAACCCCCTTATGGAAGGCTAATGTTGGAATGGAAGAACTCAAAAATTAAGGGATCAAGTCCAAATAGGGGATATTATAGAAAGATTCATATGCCCAAAAGTAATTATAGACTGATATTGTTAGATAATATATGATCATAAAGGGTCATACTAACAACAACTTGATCAAAAAGTCATATTATTTTTATATGGATGAGTATCTAAACTGATCAAAACAACTAAAAGTTGATAGAAACAAATAAAGATAGACCAAATAGTTTATTGCCACTTTTGAGTAGAGAAAGAAGGTACCAAGGCTGGCCATGGCAGATAAATGAAGCATGGCAGAAATTCATATGTGGGCATATTTAAAGTGACAAGCACAACAAAAGTAATGGAAATGATTCAAAGGTTATATCTTTCGATTTCTAGCTGCAATTAGAGCGGAATAGCCGCATGAGGGCAGAAAAAGGGTCAAATGATTTCTTCCATCTGATTAATGGAACAACAACACATAAATAAATTTCATATTTATAATTATGCCAGAAGTAATTTAAAATTTAAACTGCCTTCTTTTCCTATAGAACACCGCCATTATGCACAGTGAACCATGTCATACAAAAAATATGGAAATAGAAGTTTTATTGATGCTCTATATTGAGTAGTTGTAGTTGGTTCCTAAAAAGCCACACATAAATTAGATAATGATGCAAACTAACTCAACAAAAACACAAGACACATGATAAAACAACAAGATAATACAGATCTTTTCACACTTATCCACAAAGGACTCAATTCGAAGTAGGGAACAAACAAATAGAATCAAGTATTCCATTCAAGCATTTTAGCAAACACTTGGCGGACAATCATATGGAAGAATCCGGTTGCTTCTCCAACGACGAGGTTGCACAAAAATCAGCAAAGTTTAAGTTCTATCACTGTTTTTCAAACTCATCAATCAGATACATGAACCAAAATCAACAGAAGGTAAAAAACCAGGAAATAACTCTATCTTCAATCTAATTAGCATAATTCAAATTAGGTATATAGTAAAGAGAAAGTATTGTAAAAGGTTATGAACTCAGTTAAATAGCTTTAGAAATTGAAAGATACAGACAAAATCGTTAAAGAATATGAACTCACCTTCTTTGATAACCAAGAAATATTTGATTTTAAACGATTGGTGTTTCCACCAATGCCTAGAACTTCCCAGATTTCATTAATTTTTTGTCTTTGCATAAGAAACCATAGAAGGATCATTGCATTTTTTTTATCATCATATGGAAGAAGAAGCGACAGATACCATGATTTTATGGTTAGAGAGATTGAGAAATAATTTTGGAAACAATTACCTTCTACATTATGCTAATCAACTCAGCAATCCCGCTCATCAATTGATGGTTTCTCGTTCGTATAGTTAGAAAGTCTATCCTTATCAGGATGTGTATGAGAGTGCAATTAAATTATAATTGATAATTTTCAGCGACGATTTATGAATATGATCAATTAAGGGGGAAAAAATTAAGAAAGCCTTAGAAAATGAAAATGCCACGTGTCAAAGAGAGGTTTTAGAAAAAGGAGATGTGACATGTTTATGAGTCTTTTATTAGAAGAGACTCAAAGAGATTACCAAAGAAAAACAAAGGACTAAAAATGACAATGTGTGTAAATTGAAGGGCTGGTTGAGAGAAAACAAATAAAACGAGAACAATCACACCATTTTTGTATATTTTACTTTCACCGGCAAACCGAAACCGAAAGCACCCAGAAAAAAAGAAAGAAAAAACCCCTCTTCTGTCGAAATTGGTTAAAACCCTAATTAAATATTCAAGCATCAAAACGATCAAATTTCTTCTTGGATTATCAATTAATTGCTCGCTTATAATGTCGGGATTTTTAGAGAAGAAGGCCAACGTTGTAGAGATTCTGGATAGCGATGATGAAGACGGTGATCGATCAAGTCGACCAGAAGTCCAGAATAACGGAACAATTGAGTCCGACGATCGGAGATTGGAGAACCGGAGCTTTTGGAAAGCCGGAGTGTTTGATGTTGGTCCAGTAAAATGGACTCCTTCCCAAGGTTTACTACATACACCCCTTTGTATTATTCCATTAGATCTGTGTAATCCACTTTCGGGTCCACGAAAAGTAACATTGTGACGAAATACATTATATCTGTAATTTTTGTTGTTCCATTTGCAAAATTTACTCAAAAGTTTGGGAATGAAGGGAGTATCAGTAGCTAAAGTTTAATTTCACAAAAATGTATTGATCTGGCACAAAGACAGGATACTTCCATTAATCTAAAGAGGTTCTGTGATGGTCTTGTTGTTACATTGGATCGATATAACTTTCGACCTACTATTGATGCCCAAATACACAATAGGGAATTCTTATGGACTTAAATAGCGGCAATTATCTGTAAAGATTACCATGGATAAATATACCAATGTAGCTTGAATTTTGTCAAAAAGGAAATGATTGCTATTTCTGTAGTATATGGAGCGTGTTTCTTCCCTCCCTCTTTGCTGCTTCCCCTAGATTTCTGACATTACACATTTACACTGTTACTGAACTTGTCATCTTCATAGAAATGAAAAAAAAAAAAAAAATTCACTTGCAGAGTCACTGAATGGAGTTCTGGATTTTTGCAGATGAATTGGAACATGCTCGTGTACATCCAAAATTTCTTCATTCCAATGCAACATCACACAAATGGGCTTTTGGAGGTATGATTTAAAAGTTTCTGATTTTTTTTTCCCTCTTTTCTTTTCAGGATTTGAGAAAAGCAATAGTTTCTTATAAAGAAATCCCATCTTTTATTAAGTTTATTCATGCTTCTTTATATTTCTAGAGTAGTAAATATAATAAGACTCATTTCTTCCAAATATTAAGACATTGCAACATGAATCTTTAACTAGTAAACCAATAAAGATAAGTGATAATACTCACAGTTTAGTTTCTTTTTTATGGCAGCAATTGCTGAGCTTTTGGATAATGCTGTTGATGAGGTAATCATTCGTTATAGATAACTAGAATTTCATCAATAAAAGTAAAACAATATATATTCTTTTCAACTGTTTCCCATTTGTTTCTAATGATGTTATTATGGTTAATCTTGTATACCAGATCAACAATGGGGCAACTTTTGTGAAAGTTGACAGAATCTACAGCAAAAGGGACAATTCTCCTGCTTTACTTTTCCTTGGTAACATTCTTTATGTATTAACTTACCATTTACCAAATACCAAATCCATGCTGACTCAGCAATCTGAAATCTTGTTGCAGATGATGGAGGTGGAATGGACCCTGAAGGCATGCGAAAATGCATGAGCTTAGGATACTCCACAAAAAAGTCAAACAACACTATTGGACAATGTAAGTGTTAACAACTATTTCAATCTTTGACTTTTTAGCACTTATTGTTGACTTTCAATATAATATAAAATCTTGACAACTGAAAGATTCTTACTTTTTTCAGATGGAAATGGATTCAAGACAAGTACTATGAGATTAGGAGCTGATGTGATAGTTTTCAGTCGTGCATTTCGAAAAGCGTATGTTTTAAACTTTTAATTTCTTTAATATTATTTTATTCTTTTAATTAAATTGTTATTAATGTTATTTTATGAACTTTATCTTGTAGCAAAGCAACTCAAAGTGTTGGTCTTTTATCCTATACATTTTTACGCAAAACTGGACAAGATGATGTTACTGTTCCCATGGTAGATATATGAAAATGAAAATTCTTTATGTTTTTTTTTTTTTAAAAATCATTTTTATTTCTTTATTTCTTTTAATCTTTTTTTTGCAGATTGATTTTGATATCTCAAAGCATTGGGCAGAGCCTTTAATATATGGCTCTCAGAATGATTGGTCTACTAACTTGAACACAATTCTTGAATGGTCTCCATTTTCTTCAAAAGATGATTTAATGCAACAGGTTTATTTAATTATTTATATTCAACAACTTTATTTATTTATTTCTGTTTTTAAAATTTGTATAAACTTTCCCAGTTTGAAGATATTGGGCCACATGGGACAAAGGTGTTAATATACAACTTATGGCTGAATGATGAAGGCATTTATGAATTAAACTTTGATGAGGATGATGAGGTATTATTATTATTATTGTTATGAGATACTATGATTTTTTTTTAAAAATTTAATAATATGATTAATTGTTTTTCTGATATAGGATATAAAATTGAGAGATGAAGCTAATCGATCATCCAAATCAAGCAAAAAAGAAGCTGAAAAACAAGCCCATATATCCAACCAACTTCTTCATTCATTAAGAGTAATTATATAATTGTTTTTATAATTTTGACATCATCATGATGTATAATTATATATTTATTCTTTTCAGGCGTATGCTTCTATGTTATACCTCAAAAAATTTAAAAACTTTAAAATTTTCTTGAGAGGAAAACCAGTAGAACAGTTTAATATAGCTGATGATTTGAAACATCCACAAGTAGTCACCTACAGACCACAAGCCAATTCAATGAAAGATGTAAGATATCTATATATATATATATATATATATATATATATATACATATACATTTTATATGTTTCCATATTTACCCTTTTGTGCATGTGATTTTTATATATTCTTTATTATTTGTAGGCTGTTGTGGTGACAACTCTTGGATTTATCAAAGAAGCTCCTGCTCTTCCAATTACTGGATTTAATGTATACCATAAAAATCGTCTTATTCGGGTATGTAATCCTAAAATTACATAAATGGTCCCTGTGGTTTACCAAAGGTGTCAAACTCAGTCCTTGCTAGTTTTTTTTTTACGAACATGGTCCTTATGGTTTCCAAAACTTGCATGAATGATCCTTTTTGCTAACACCGTTAGTTTTCGTCCGCTAGTGTGAGGGTAATTTGGTCTTTTTAGGTAGCAGGGACTGAGTTTGTGACCATGAGTAAACTATAGAGACCATTTATGTAATTTTGTCTATATTTTATGTTTATGAGTTTGTGTCATTTCCATCTTTTTACCTTTTTTAAAATGTCACTTTGACCCCTTCACTTTAAACTTTGTAAAATGTCATTTTACAAAACTATAAAAAATAAATAATTAATTAAATTACCCTCACACTAACGGAGTTAGCAAAAAGGACCATTCATGCAAGTTTTGGAAACCACAAGGACCATGTTCGTCAAAAAAAAAATTAGCAGGGACTGAGTTTGTGACCTTTGGTAAACCACAGGGACTGTTTATGTAATTTTGTGTAATTTATAGAGTAAATTACACGAATGGTCCCCCTATGGTTTAGGGTAATTTGCACGTTTGGTCCCTAACTTATTTTTTTTTAACTCGGAAGGTCCCTACTGTTTGTTTTTGTTACGCGCTTGGTCCTTGTCTTACCTAAAAAGACTATTTTGCCCTTGATTTATTAATTTATTTAAATAAACACACCCCCAACCCCACCCCCTTACCTTCCTTACCTTACCTACCCCACCATTTTCCCTTATTTAAATAATAGTCATTTTAGGTAAGACAGGGACCAAGCGCGTAACAAAAACAAATTGTAGGGACCAAGCGCGTAATAAAAACAAATAGTAGAGACCTTCCGAGTTAAAAAAATAAGTTAGGGACCAAACGCGCAAATTACCCCAAACCATAGGGGGACCATTCGTGTAATTTACTCTACTTTATAAGATGGTGAATAATATTGAAATGTTGCAGCCTTTTTGGAAAGTAACTGGAGAAGGGCATTCAAAAGGGTATGGAATTGTTGGAGTTCTTGAAGCAAATTTCATAGAACCAGCACATGACAAACAGGATTTTGAAAGATCTTCTCTGTTTTCAAGGCTGGAATTGAAGCTTAAACAGATGCAAATGGATTACTGGTTAGTCATAAATGGAATTGGAATTGGAATTCATGATTCCATTCCATGGTTTTTTTTTTTTTAATATATAAAAGAAAACAAAACTGAACCCCAAAGTTTGATTTTTGTAAAAGAAATAAAAAACCAATTGTTTTTTTAATTTGATTCAGTTTCAGTTTTTTTTACACAACCCCAAGTAAAAATAATAATATTTATTACTGCAATATTATGATTTTGTTAATATATTTTATAAAAAAAATTACAGGAAAAGCCACTGTCACTTAATTGGGCACCAACCTGATCAAAGTTTTTTGCGCAAATTGCACACACAAGGTCAAAGGGTTGACCAGTCCATTCACAGTCTTCCGGTTGACCCAAGACCCAATTTGACCGGTCAAAGTCAAAGTCAAAGTCAAACTGTTTACAACAATAACATACCTGTGGCTCGTGCACCTCCTGGATTTGCAACCATGACATCTGTAAGTTTCATCTTTCATTGTTACATAAACACTTTCTTACTTTTGCTATTTGATAATTATACCCTTTTGTTCGAATGCCTGAAAATTGAATTATCCTTTTTTTTTTATGATAAGGGTTTTGTTCAAGAAGTGGCAAGTGGAGATGATGATATTGATCGAATAATCAATGAAAATATCCTACTTTTCACAAGGTAAAAGTTATATTTATGACAACCACTTATTGGATGATATGAATTTACGGATCTACCCTTATGATTTTTTAGGTGTGACCAGTATGCGCAAAAGGAGAATGAGTTGAAGTCTACGGTAAGTCGAAATTTTTACCAAAAAAACATTTATTATTATTATTATTATTATTTTAATTTTATTATTTTGATTAGGTGGAGGATTTGGAGAAACAAGTTGCGGAAACAAAAAGGAAATGTGCTGAGATTTCTGAACGACTCGAGTTTCTAAAAAGGCAGAATCTTGTAAGATGATATAGGAATGACAAACATCGAAATTATAATGTATATATATATATAAAATATATATATATATATATATATATATATATATATATATATATATATATCTAACTTAATACCAAAAAGTGAAACAAGAAAAACTATTCAAAGTGAAATTGCAAATTATCCAAAAATATTGAATTTGTTGTTTTTCACTGACACCTCAGCTTCCCCCATTTTTTTCACTAGCTATAAAAGAAAATACAATTAAATTGGATGTTGCAACTAGTGGATCAAATTCTTCCTACCTTTTGCGTTTCTACTACACAACCAGTTAAAAGACAACGATATAATGGAATCAAAGATTTGGTCCTTACGATATCTATATGAACGAAATACAACAACATTGGTGTCAATTATTCACTTTTCTTTTCTTTAAAAGCTCTCATATATAATATCATTTCTTTGTTGATGGAATCCCTTAGAAGCCACCTTCAATACTATTCTTTTCTGGCAACTACAACGTTCTTCGGTGCCTTGAACTTCAATCCTAGCTTATGGGCTTGAGTTTAGGGGGGGGGGGGGGGGGGGGGGGGGGGGATTTAGATCAGTCATATTTTGGAAGCAAAAAAGAAAGTTACTCTTTTGAGTTAATCAAGAGAACAAATGACTCAATGTTGCTTTGTTCTGAATTGGTTATTGTTTTAACATGTTTAAATCGATGATGGATAATGTGGTAAATGCGGATTTTGGTGAATTCATAAATAATTAGATGATGTTGGTGTATTCACAAGGTGATGGTGGTAGATGGGGATGAAATAGTTAGTGGGAGTTAGGTGAATCCTTTAATATAAATCTTAGGTGGATGATGATGAATTCATAAATTGTAGTGTTAGACGAGAGCATAGTTATCGATAGCGTATAATAGACAATAACAACGAACTACCTATATGCTACACGGAGATAGCAATGAAATAGGCGTTTGCTATTTCGTATTTAACAACAAGCTAATAGAAAATAATATATATATATATATATATATTATATATATATATATATATATATATATATATATATATATATATATATATATAGTTACCTTAACTATTTTATCAATATAATCTAAAAATAAGTAAAACTATAGTCATTACAATCCTCCCTAATAAATAAAGAACTTTTTGCCACTTGTCAATTTCTTATGCATTTGGACACATGTAATTTTATGGTTAATTCTTAGAAATTAATTTTCAATTGTCATTTTGTGGTAATTTTTGATTTTCTTAATTAACTATCTAGTTTTTAGGTTATAGAAAGTAATTAATGTGTCATTAATTTGTTTCCCTATATTTTCAAATTTTAATATGTTTCCTTCAATATATATAATTCAAAATTGACATGTTTTTTTTAAGTTCATTAGGCAAAATGGTCTATATAAAAAAAATAATCATACTTTGTTGTTTTTTTATTGATATTTAATGTTTTCTTTAAAAAAAATATTTAAAGTTTATATCTTCATATATAATTTTTTTTAAACAACCCGTGTAGTACACGAGATTCACACCTACTCTAGAATAAGTAAGCTTAAGTCATTATAATCCAGAAATAGGTAAACGTCAAAAATAAAATGACATTTAGAATCAAATTGATATCGAAAACACTTAATTACATACCGCAACTTTAAAAATCATAAAAGACGAGTGTTTACTACTTCAAGTTTTTGGTTTTATGTTTTACAAATTAAAAATATTACTCACTTAGCAAACACATGATCTAAAGCAGTTGTAATACTTTAATAATTAAAAATATGATCCACTAAGCAAATTACAACTACTTTTATTCTTAAATACAACAAATTAAATTACTAACAAAACATTATATAGTTATATAATTTAAGGTTTTGGCAAATTAAAATCAGTGGTAGCCGACTTAGACTAAGGTGCTGTTTGTTTCTCAAAAGATAAAATGTTTATAGTTAAAAACCATATCTACAAATCTGTATAGAAGAAACGGTGAACTAAATATCTGCAGTCTGCAAGAAGAAGATTGTTTGTTTTTTAAACTGATTTTTTTTAAAAAAATTTAATAAACTTTTTCAATACTAAAATTTAAATAAATTGATTTTTCTTTGATATATATGCTTTATTGATTATAAGCTAAATAACAACTGACTTTTAATAAGTTTAGTCTCTATTTTACTTTAATTATGGTTAAAAAGCAAAAAAAAAAAAATAATATGAAAATAGTTATTTTAATGGTGTTAGTAGTTATATTTTTTTAGAATTGGAAATCCTTTTTAAATATAATGGTCAAAATTAGAAACAAACTTCCTTACCTATGAGTTTGCATTTTTCCGATAATGAAAAAAAATCATGCATGTTTTTTTTTTTTTTAAATTCTTTTTAAATACAATGGTCAACAAAATTGAAACCATGTATGAAAAAAAATTGACTCTAAGTTCTTTCTAAGGTTAAGATGCGAGAAGACTTTAATCATGTTTGCTCCACATGCAAATCTTTTTAGGTTTACAGTTTTTTAAAAACAAATAGTTTGCGAGCACTAATGTCCGTACCATTTTGACAAAAAAAGTCAACAAGACGTTCAAACAAAAGAATAAACATATGGAATCAAGATATAAAATCACCTAACATTACAATAATAAATATTATAATTATAGCAATCAAGATATAAAACACCCGACTTAGACAACTATTAAAAAAAGAATAAACATATGCAAATAAATAAAGATCATTAAAGGTCAAAGAAAGCTGTAACCTCCCAAAATTCAATGCCAAAATTTCATTTTTAATATAAGAAAAACATTTAATAACTTTGTTCCGGACATTGAAAACATCTCATTTAAACAAATATCAGAGTTCAAATCCCAAAGATCATAAAATGCGGAAACAAAAGTTGAAAGTCATAAGCACGAAGCTTAGTGAGTTTCTTTAAATACCACATACCATACATATCAACTGGGCCATACATGCCATACATACTGTGAGCCATACATATCAATCGTATATCAAATAAGGTGCTATGTGCCGCACATAGTCTTACTGTTATGCCACGGGCCGTCACGTGGTCTTTCTTGTCAAGTCGGGGGCCACCCCCTGGGTCTTACAGACAAGTGCCAAGAGCCACCTCCTGGTCTTCCATGCAAGTATCACAAAGATAACTAGCATACATACTATTATACTTAGCTAACGAGCATACAGTGTGCCAGGAGCCACCTCCTGGTCTTTCATACATATTGCATAGGGCTAACCCTCGGGTCTTCCTGTCATACGTAATAACATACTAGGTGCCAGGAGCTACCTCCTGGTCTTTCATACATAGTGCCTACGGCTAACCCCCGGGTCTTCCTACCATACATAGACTAAATGGGCTGGCATTGTGGCCGTATACCCATACGTACAGTGAGGAGACTCACCTCGCACTGCTGAACCCTGTTGATACTCCTCTGGCTGCTGACTGTCAATTCCCGAACTGCTGACCCTTCGGCTTCCCGAACTACCAATACCAAAATATTACTTAGTCCAATTCATTTACGGCCGATGTTTCTCATGTATATATAGAGGTGAGGGGTGTGAGGAACAGAGAGTGAAAAGAGTGAATGTGAGAAGAGAGAAGAGAGGAGCTTAAGTGTGTGTATTCTAAGGTGTTTTCTAGAGAGAGAAAGTGAATCTTGTGTAAGGAACTTCAATCATATCATAAATACATTCAAGATTCAAGTTATTCTTCTCCTCCTTCTCTTCTATTTTGATCTGACATCATCCGTTTGATTGGGATTCCGCACCATCAAACGGATCTGATTGATACACAAGCATTTTGGGGACTTACAACGCTCTACCTCCAAAAGATTCTGATTATAACTACAAGACTTTTCTGTGGTACTTAAGATTACCCCGAAGGATAATGTCTCACAAATTTATTCATTAACAAGTTCACGTAGTTTGTAATGAAATACTCGTTTTGTAAATCGATTGTATTACTGTTTCTTTGATAAATGAAGAGTTCAAACTATACCTATTATAGTTCATCAGTAGTGTGTTATGATTTGATGAGACCATGATATGTAAGACTTTGTATTTCAATAAAAATGACATTGAAAATACTAAGTGTAAATCTTACACACCTTGCTCAGCATGTTACAAGGTGTGAATAACCCTTAAACTTGTTTTGACAATTTTACCCTTAACTGTCGCTGTTTTAGAATATTTATAGAAAAGTTATCGTAACTCGAAAACTGAATCCGTAAACTCAGAGAGTTTGGAAAAAGAGTCTAATGTATTCATAAATTTTCCTATAATTTTTTGTGGTCTCAAACAAGTGTGAAAATGTTCATCTTCACAGCCTGGTCCGATTTTGTTGCTGCAGTGATAGGCAGTTTTGTAAAAATCACCATAAATTGTAGAAAAATCGTATGGAGATGTACAAGTAGTAATTTTAAAGGTATAAACCTGAAATATTTTCATATTAAAGAGTTTTGAAAAATATTAAGTTTAAGTTGGGTAAAACAGTTCGTGAACAGGTCACAACGTTTCTGTTGTAAGCTGTCAAGTTAAGTTTCAAATATGTTTTGGTGTTTTAACTTGTATTCCCCCCCCCCCCCCCCCCCCCCGAAAACTAAAGAAAACTGGATAATGTAGGGGTATGAACTCACCTTGAGTGATTTCTTGAATAGTGGAAGGTCAAAGACGAGGAGTATCAAGTCAAGAACACTTGATGAACACGTGAGAGTTTGGATAATCCTAAGAACGATTTTTGGTGTTAAAATGTGAGTAGATGATCCAAGAGTGTTATGAAAATATGGAATAACACTTGAGTCTAGATGAAATACTTTCCAAAAAGTGAAGTAATAGCTCAATAACACTTCCAAAAAGTGGCTGGATGTAGAGAGAAAAAGAGGTTCTCTTGATGTTTTGAGAAGTGTATAAGTGTTTGAAAGTGATCAAAGTGAACCAAGAAATCCTCCAGGGATTTCTTTATATAGATGTTGCTGAAGAAATTTGCAAAATTGAAAGGATGTTTGCCTTGGTTTGTGTGATGTGGATAG